GCTGCGTCTGCAGATCCCTGCCCGGGCTAAGGCTCCTCCTGGTGTTGTAGACAACTAAGTTGGGTAGAAAAACTGTAGGCAGTCAGACAGGGCTCGCCCCTTGAGAGAGTCGACACAAAACACGAAAACATGTCACAACTGTGGCTGGAGACACATCTGATGGAGGCCAGGCCACGAGATAAGGGGGTGGGGGGTTCGTGTGCAGAAACCCTTGGGGACGTTGAGCAGAATTTCACTGCAAAGAAAAAAATAAGTGACATCTGGCCATTTTGATTTTTCAAAAAATATCTCGGTTTGCTGGGGTCAGGGCGATGCCTTTAAATAGTTGTCTGGATAGACTAGAATGGAGCTGCGCACCTCCTGGGTAATCTTGAATGAAATCCAGGTCTGGCCCTCCCACTTCCCGCCCACTTCAGGCTCGCAGATGGGGGCGCCTGAGTGGGGGAAGCTCCCTGAGTCCTCCGGGTCCTCCTTCCTCACTCTGGAGTGCTGCCCTCACCCGGAGGAGCCAGTGAGGGGTCTCCTGAGCAGGGGCAGGGCCGCAATCCCCTCCAGCTTCGGGCCTCAGCAACAAGTTGCCTGTGTCACCTGGCTCTTCCTGGAATAAGGGGTGGAGAAGGACATGGTGTTTGAATAACACAGGCGCGTGACTGGCTTTGCCTGCAGAGGGGCAGGACTTTGGGGTTGGCCCCTCTGGGGAGCTACCCCTGTGGTCCTGGCTGAAATCGACCTGCCGCCTGGACCTTGCGGCTGATCTCTCTGCAGGCTAAAGCACTTCCAGGGCTCAGGAGGGGTGGGGAAGAGCACCAAGGGGAAACAGCGGAACTGCCAAGCCAAAGTTCCTACAGTCCCCAGGTACTGCTACCCTCCCGAGTGCTAGAGGTGCCCCTGGGGGCATGATGCATGCCCTGAGGTCACTTCCGCGGACACAGCCAGGGGAACCCCTCTCCCAGGAAGCTCAGCATTTGCGGAGCCCCAGTTGCACCCTGGAACCTGCGCGCTGTGGGGCCCACTGAGGAACACCCCAGCCGAGGGCCTATGAGCTCACGCGTCCGACCACGATTTCCCTGCTTTAAACTGTATGAATGACGGGTCGCTTACAAATGTGAGATTCTCCTTCCTGTGAATTCAGGAGGGGGAAGAGGGGAGAAAGGAAGCCAGGGTCTGTATGTATGTGCCTGTGAGGTGTGTGTGTGTGTGTGTGTGTGGTGTGTGCGTGGTGTCCTGGGCTAAAAATGTGGAGTTCCTCAGTGAATAAATTATTAGAAACAAGGTAGTCAGAGTGATCTGATCATTAACTACTTTCACCAGGTACACAGAGTTTTCCATGTGTGTTTCTGTCTTTACTAGGGTAAAGAGAGTAAAGCATTAGTTTTGCTGCATCAGGGCATGGCACTAGCTGTGTTAGTCGAAATGTCAGGGAATAGCCTGTGTGGCACATGAAATTAGGAAGAAGCTGGATGGTTAAAGGTTGAAAAAAAATCACATTTAGTTAAGAGCAAAAGGATTGCTGGCCATCAATTCACAAATGCAAATCTTTAATGTTCACAAGAAACCTGAGCCTCATCCACAATTTCTCAGCATATTTTAAAAGACATTTTCTATGAGGGCAGCTTTTAGTCCACATAACTTTTTCATTTAATAGACATGTCATAGTTTAGTTCACACATGTCCCCCCGGGCACCTCCTGTGCTCAGAGGCTGGGCTTTTGGAAGGTGATGTTACCATGGGCGGCTGCCGCTCTTAAGAGCTGGGGCCTGGTCGGAGGTGAGTCGCTGGCTTGGCCTTTAAGTGTTGTTCTCCCTGGCTGTCTGCTCCTTCCTCTTCTCTCCTTCCTGACTACCATGAGGTTACAGCTCACCTCCACCACATCTCTCTCCTGGGCCACTTCCTGCCTTGGCACCAGCTAACCATGGACTGTAAACTGTGACCCAAATCCGCCCTCTCCTGCTTTAGATTGCAGGTGTTGGTGAGTTTGTCCAAGGGATGAAGAAAGTGACTAAAACTGTTTCTCATTTAAACTCACGTTCAAACCCAAGATATTGAAAAGTAAATAAGGTATTAATGGAAATGGGTTGAAAACCCAACAAAACAACACATAGTGCTATTATTTTGTCATAAGCCATTTACTAGCTGCTATCATATTTGTGCCAAGTAACTATAATAATACATATTTCGTTTTAAATGAATCACTGCAGGAAATCTAAGACCTTGATATATAGCAGTAATTGCAGAAAATAAATACGGGATATGTATCAGGAATTATTAGTCTGCAGATGACACCCTTTGAACACATAATCTTATTGAGGAGAAGGCCTAAAGAACTACCTGAATAGGAGGCCAAACGTGAACATATCCACTAGATTAAAATATTAATTGCCAAGCTGTCTGCAATTTTTACAAACACATTCTTAAATTGAAACCCGCGATGTGAGAAGAATGAACATACTGATGAGAAGAGAGTGGAGGAATATTTGAAATTGGAATTGATTCAGAAATTCTAGATTGTATGCTTTCTATTCATCAAAGAAATAATCACACGTCCGGCTGTCTCGTGGCAGCCTCTGGTGAACGTCCCCTGTTAGTGTTTAGGCCACTGTGCAGATGGATCCCTCCCACCCTGACTCGGGCAGGCTGACCCTGTGGCCAGGAGAACCCAGTGGCTGGTCAGAGTAGTGCATCCCTTGCAAGGCTGGGTCCTAGGAGACATTACATCCTCTGCTTTGGTTTCTTGGCATCCTTGCTCTGGAGGAGGCCAGCTGCCATGCTATAAGATACTACAGCATTTGGGTAAAAAGGCCCACATGGAAAGGAAATCTTCACTCACCTGGCTGAACCGCCTTGAAATAGAACCTGCAGCCCTGATCGGGTAACAGCAACAACTGCAGACCTAGCCTCTGGGGAGTGAGTGATCCTTGAAGATAAATTTTCACTTCATCTCTGTTTCTAAGACCCTGTTTCCTGCCTTGCAAAAGCATGCCATTAAGCCAAAGGACTAAAATACAGACATGAATATTCAAAGGGATAGAAGAAACACTCGAGCATCCTAGGTAACTGGCAATGGACCATTGTGATGGCCCTTGACCTACAAGTAGTATGAGCACTGAGTGAGAGTTCTGATCACTGTGTACAAATTCCCTGAGTATTTTCACGAAGCACACCTGTGAAAAAGACAGCCATTGGGGCAGGCTGGTTCAGGGGTGGATATTAGAACTGGACTTTGAGGTCTGAATCCCAGCCCTGCCACGTGGCTGAGCTTGTGGTCTTGGTTGAGTCACCCAATCTTAACTCCTCGCCTGTAAAATGAGGATCATGATGACAACAGACTCACACTATTGCAGTATATAAGAAGGGGAGGGGTTAATTCAGATACTGCACTTAGGATGGTTCCTGAGACACAAGGTTCCTCGGACAGCACTGGAATCTCCAGGTAGGGGGAAAAAGTGACCAAGTTCATTGCTTGCCAATTTGATGCCGGAAATGGAACTTTTACACTGAGTTCAGCAACTTCTGGGAGGTGAAGGATTTCAGCAAGGATACAAGTCATAACATATAGGCAGCATACAGTTTCCTATTTCTCCACTTAGCCTGAGGGTCTAAGCAGCAAGGGCTTTGCAGGAGACTTTGAATCACGAATCCAGACAGGAGGAGACAGCTGCTGCTAAACCTTTATGCAAATGAGCAAATTGCAGCCAGGTTGGGGGTAAAAATGGTCAGTGCTCCATCACAGAGCAACAATGCTACCTCGGCTCTTTCAAAACAAGATGTGAGCTGAACTAGGCTAGATTATTGAGTAATGTTGGCTTTCTGGTCATGTTGCAGAACTTTTAATCCATCAAGAAGTTATTCGTTCAACAGATACGTTGTGTGCTTCTACTACAGCGGTAACTAATCTAGATTCTAGAGTGAAAATAGCCACAGAAATCAGAGGCCCACACTTCTGAAGGTCACAAGGTAGGGGGTTGGCAGACATATGTCAAGTGATCGTAAAGTGGATGTCCATGGCAAACACAAAAGGTCTACAAAGCCTTATATGCATATGTACAAATTTGACCTACCAAAAAGGTCAGAGAAGGCTTCATCTAGAGAATGACACTCAAAAGTCTATGTCGAGAGGGTGAATAGGGCCTGGCCAGGTGAGGTTGATGGAAGGAGAGAAAAAGAAAAGAAGAATGTTCCGGAAAGAGGAACCAAAAAAATAAATAAGTAAACAAACCCTGTGGTGTGTGGGAGAACAGAGGATCATGGTGGCGGAAGCATCAACAAGCAGGAAGTTATTGGAGGGCTTTAACCAGGGTATTTCCCTGATTGAATTGTGTGCACACTGAGGAAGAGGAAGAGTAGATACTGAGAGAACCATTAGGATAATGGCAGTGTCCAGGGAGAGACGGGCCGTAAAATCAATAAGAGTTGCATTCATTTCTCTTCTCTTGTTGCTGAGAGAAAATACCTAAATCAAAGGGCAGAGGGCTTATTTAGCTCAATTTATAGAGGTTTCAGTCTGTAACCAGCTGGCTGCAAGGCAGGGTGGCAGATGGCAGAGAGGCATCGTAGAGAAGAAACAGTTCATGGCACCCACATAGAGCAAAAGCAACAAGGGAACATTAATCTTTCTGCCCCTTTTGTCTCATCCAGCCTATGGGGATTAGTGTGGTGCCAAACCCATCACTGTGCTGGTTTAGTAATCACACACCCTTAATCCCAGCATCACACTGTCTAGATTCAGCCACCTCTGAAAAAGCCCCCTATCACCTCAGGAGGCTTTGGGGGGACATCCAGATCCAAGCCACAATGAGAGTATGATCAATTAGACTCAAGGGGCTGAGGAAAAGGGTGATGTGATGTCATGTGGAGGAGTATGGTTTACAGAACAGGATAACTGAAAACAGGAATAGGGAAGAAGGATTTGACTTCGGCTGGGAACAGAGAGAAAGTGGGTACTGGCCACAGTACCACATTTGGGGAAATTCTTAAAAAGCCTTCAAAGTCATTTAAGTTTTTCAGTATTTTATTATGGCACACAGGATAGAATATGGAACAATGTTCTTACTTCAACCAAGTATTTCTCAAATCAACCAGCTGTTTCCATTCGGCAAGGCACTAAGCCATGAGCATCCTCCCATGTTTATAGAGCATAAATGTGAAAAGCTTGGCTTCTGAGGAGATGCCTAGTCTTTCCCAAAGTGCAAAGGGATCACATCACTAGGAATGTTTCAGGTGACATTCATAATTTTCAAAGATCATCTTGAAAATGGATACTAAACAAAGTTAGCTGACAAAGCAGTTGTTTAAGAACAGAAGCAGAGCAGCAGAGAGACAATAATTTCATCTCTATTCCACACCAAAGGTGAAGTCAAGAGCTTTCATAATTTTACAGTGGACACAGACAGCCCGGGGTTTTTTTTTTTTAATGCAACATCCAACCACCCAGTTATTGAAATCCAAGTATTTTCCAATTAAGACGTGCAGAGCAATGCCGATGTAACACACAAATATATTATCTCCCCCCTACGTGACTGCTAATAATTTCATTACTAGTGTCTGTAATTTTTTTAAAGATTTGAAATGTGTGACATTAAATGCTATTTATGTTAGGCAATAGAATTAGACTTACAACACACTGAATCACTAGCTCAGGATTGCAGGCAACGTGTTTACAGTGGCAAATAACCTTTGATGCCCTTTATCCTCTCTAAATTATACATTGATAAAAACATTCCTTTTCATCATATCATGTGCTCAGGTGTCAACTCCTGCCCATATTTAGAGTGTATTAAAAATGCAGCCACAGTGATGAACACATAGACTTCACATTCTACCCTTACTGCGTGATCACATACCAGTTGTCCATAAAGGGTATATTTGTCATATAATTTCAAAATTTGCTCCATAAAGTCACCTTTCAACATAACACAGCACAATTTATAGAATATATCATTATTTATGGACTCTCTCACTTCCTTAGGTTTATCATCAGTAAGATTTTTTTGAGGGAAGAGATTTTGTAGTCATGACCTAACTGTATCCCTCAGAATTTCCAATTAAAGAAGGTATTGTAGCTGTGAAAATTTTAGCTTTTAAAAAAACTGAAGGTCAATAGACCCTTTGTATACTGTTTTTATTGATGCCATGTTTTAAAGTATTTTAATTAAACCAAAAACCACAGCAAGAACTATGTCATTCAGTGTAACTTTATTTACTATTTATTGCACATAACTCGAGGTCTTTAACTTCTAACCACCAAAGGCTCAGAGGACTATTTTTCCATAAAGTTTAATGTTAACATTAGTAAATTCACTTATTCACTTTTTTATTGTAAACATCTGAATGATTCACATTGCCATAGATCCTGAACTCATACGCGTGGACCATGCACAGGCTGGCAGCAAGCCAGAAAGCCACTCTGCAAGCAAACAGATACTCTGCATAAGGAGAAAATTCATAGCACGACATTGAAGGTCCAGCCTAGGTCATCTCAGAAGTATACATATATTGACTTCTTAATTCATGTAGGATCTGGAACTCAACTGGTTGGTTGGTGATGAGGTTGGCCAAGTTTCGGGAGAATTTTTCCTGGAACAGTTAGGAAACGGGGGGACTCAATCTTTCTTCTTCGCTGCTTGTTCCTCGACGGTACCTTCGTCTTTCTTCTCCTCCTCTTCAGATTCTTTGGTTTCTTCTGCTTCTTCACCTTCACCTCCTCCTTCTTCTTCCTCCTTTGCCTCCTCAGAGTCTCCCTTGGCAGCTTAAACACAGAAAGAAAATTTACAAGACCTGAGTCCAGGTTAAATCCAGTCCAAAGATCTCTGCCAAGAGATTACCAAGTGTGGATTACCAAGCGTCACGGTCAGAATGCGCACCAAAAACTGCTCCGTTCCACTCTCCCAAAAGACATGCAACACACGGGTCTTGCCATGAACAACTTGCCAGGGAACACATATTCGAATGAAATGAGATTACTTCCTCTCCAAAACCTAACCTCAGACCTACGATGTGTGTGGCATTTACTCTTGTTCTTTGGCACACCAAACTGCTGGGTCAAAGGGGTTCACTAAAAATAAAATTCTGCAAGTTTTGTGCATCAATTCAAAATAAAATAAATCCAAAGAGAGAAATTTTTGACCAATTGCTTCACTTATAATAAAGAAGGGCTTAATAAAGCTATGTGGAATAAACGCAAAGGTGTTTAAGGTTCTGAAATCACCTATGAGCAGGCCCTGGTGTAGCTCATCCACCTCCTAACAAAGCTCCACACCCACTTTGTACTTGCAGGGGTCTGTGGTCCTCATACCTTCTTCCTCATTGGCTCCCTCCTCTTCTTCACCCTCTTCCTTCTCCTGCTCTTCAGCTTCCCCTTCAGAAGGGGGCTCGTCCTTAGCTTCCTCGGCTTTGGCAGCCTGGATGGTCTCCTCCACCTCGATCTGCTCCTCCTGGACGTGGCTGGTGTAGTAGGAGGGGAAGGAGCGGGCAGACATCAGGTAGGAGCTGGTCTGCAAACCGCTGTAGGCAGATCGGCCGAAGACCTGGGAGCTCTGGGAGTAGCCGCTGGTGATGCTGCCCACGCTGGTGAAACTGAGCCTGGTCTCCTCGCCTTCCAAGAGTTTCCTGGGGGCAGATGAAGGGCAGTTAAAAACATCAACCACCACAAGAGGTGTGCTCAGGTGGGGACATTCTCTAAGCCCACCACTCACCGCTGCCGCCCCCCAAGGCCACTGTTAGAGGAAAACACCAAAGGGAGCAGGGTTAGGCAGCATCAAGACTCAGTGACTGGGATTTTGCGACCAAAACCAAACAAACAACCCCTAAAGAGTCCTATTAAATTTAAAACATAACGGGAAGCTAAGAAAAGAACTCATTACTTCTTAAATACATGCTTAGATACTTTCTTCTTGGAAGAAGCAAAAAAAAAAACCTTAACTTCATTATTTTCAAAGAACTAATTTTGAAGATTCTGATTCAATGTAACTTTGAATAGAATCTGACTTTCTTCCTAAGGCTTAACTGGCTGCTTCCTTCACCCCTCTGGTTTCACCTGTAAGCTGCAATCTCAATATCCAAAGCCATCTTCACATTGAGGAGGTCTTGGTATTCTTTTAGGTATCTAGCCATCTCGCTCTTTGTGGTTCTCAGTTCATTTTCTAATTTGTTGATTGTGTCCTGTTGGAAGATTAAAGAAAAAGTCCAGCATAAAACGCTCCTGCTTTCATTATACTATAATATAACTGCAAAGACCTACAGTCAGCTCAAACCAAAGTGCACACACACCTTCCATAAAATCTCCCCTAAAACTGCTTGTTCTCTAAAAAAAATCTTTCTGCTCTAAAACATCCAGCTTCGTGAAGCAGAAAGAAAAAATATATTTTAAACGATGGAATAAAATTCTTTTTTAAAAAAATTTTTTGTTAATATAGACTCACGATCACCATAAAATGTCTACAAAAACGAAAAAAAATCCAAATTGACAGAAAAACTGTTTTTCACTAACTCTTCTCTAGCCAGGTCACTTTTGAGAAAATTTTTCTTAGAATAATTTCTGGGCCGGGGATTTAGCTCAGTGGTTCTGCCACCTGCCTTGTTCGATCCTGGGTAACAATAATAATAATAATAATTACTGTGCATTTATACTCTCTCGAAGATGGAGAACCTTAAAAAAGAGACAGCTGACTTGTGAATATCACCTGCCATTTCCTGAAGCATTCGGACTGTTTTCTTGGGTACCTGCGAAGGGGAGGAGGTGGTTAGAAAACCCAGTCCAAAAGCCTGCTGGTTCAGAGGCCAGGAGCACTGCCGCCATCTTTACCAACCCGAGGGTCCGACAGATGCTGAAAGAGGTCGTGGTGGACTCAGGTCCGCAGAGAGAGGAAGTCACCGCATACCCTTTCCTCACCCGCCCACCCCTCCAGCCGGGCTGCGTTGCTCTCTCGCAGAACAACAGGTAACACCCCCCATCCGGCCGGCGCGGTACCTGCATGGCACTGATGTCGGCGTTCTGCTTGTCCTCCAGCTCCTGCAGCTGCTTCTCCAGCGCCTCGTTCATGCCCCGGCACGCTTCGATCTCCAAGGTCTTGGCCTTGAGCAGGCGGCGGCTCTCGGACACCTCGTCCTTGGCGGCGCGCACGGCGTCGGTGTTCTTGGCGGCGACCCCCCATCCGGCCGGCGCGGTACCTGCATGGCACTGATGTCGGCGTTCTGCTTGTCCTCCAGCTCCTGCAGCTGCTTCTCCAGCGCCTCGTTCATGCCCCGGCACGCTTCGATCTCCAAGGTCTTGGCCTTGAGCAGGCGGCGGCTCTCGGACACCTCGTCCTTGGCGGCGCGCACGGCGTCGGTGTTCTTGGCGGCGCTCTCGGTCAGCACGGTGAAGCGGCTCTTGAACCACTCCTCGGCGTTCTGCATGTTCTTGGCGGCCAGCTTCTCGTACTGCGCGCGGATGTCCTTGAGCGCGGCGGAGAGGTCGGGCTTGGAGGACACGTCCATCTCCACGGAGATCTGCGCATACTGAATCTGCGCCTGCAGCTCGGCGATCTCCTCCTCGTGCACTTTCTTCAGAAAGGCGATTTCGTCCATCAGGCTGTCGATGCGCTTTTCGAGCTCGGCGCGGGCGAGCGCGGCCTCGTCGGCGCCTTTGCGCGCTTCCATGAGCCGGCCCTCGGCGTCCTCGCGGCTCAGCACCTCTTCTTCGTAGCGCGCCTGAAGGTTGCGCAGCGTCTCCTCCAGCCCTTCGCGCTCGCCCTGTAGCGCCTGCTTCTCGTTGGTGGCGTCTTCCGCCGCTAGGCGCAGGTCTCGGATCTCCTGCTCGTACAGCGCCCGGAAGCGGGATGGCTCGGAGTGCTTCTGGCGCAGCACAAGCAGCTCGGCTTCCAGGACCTTGTTCTGCTGCTCCAGCTCGTGCACGCGCTCGATGAAGCTGGCGAAGCGGTCGTTGAGGTCCTGGAGCTGTGCCTTCTCCTGCGTGCGGATCGACTTGAGGTCGTTGCTGATGGCAGCCACCTGGCTCAGGTCGAGGTTCTCCAGGCTGGGCATCAAGGAGCCGGAGCTGGACGAGTAGCTGCGGCGCACGGAGAGCGAGGAGGAGAGCGGCGCGGAGTAGCTGGAATACGCGGAACGCGCGGAGCTGTAGCCGCTGCGCACGCTGGAAACGTGCACCCGGGGCGCCTCCGCGTAGCGCCGCTTGTAGGAGGTCGAGTAGTACGGCTCGTAGCTGAAGGAACTCATGGCGGCGGCCGGTGCCCCTCCGGCCCGCGGCGGGGATGGGGGCCTAGAGAGAAGGGAGGACGGGGAGAGAGGGGCAGGGGAGGATAGATGGCTGTGTGCGGCTGGGCGTCGTCCTGCCTCCCCTATTTATACGCGGGAG